CATGAGGTATCCTACGATTGTCTTACGCCAGGCCAGAGGAACATCGTCCGACCCAACATTGATGCCCGCGCACGGTTCCACATGTACCCCTCCCTGAGCACGGCTCATGGGATCCGATTGGCAGAAGACATGTTTCACATCGGCAGCACCACCTATGTGACCTAGGTTCATCATCACCTGAATGAACATGAGAATGGAGGAAGTCTGGGGAGTGGGAGAGTAGACAAACAGCGTCCCGGTGTCAGGATCTTTGCGCCCATAGACACACCGCCGGGACTTGGCGGCTGGTTCAGAAAACGTGTCCTGCACAGGTTTCCACCTTCGAACCATACGGCTCGTGATGATGCGGTCCGGTTGTTCACGCCTGATCACTCCTGCTCCCTTAAGTGAAATGATCTCCACGGCGCCTGAGTTGGTCATATTCTGCCACTCCGTATCATCTGACACCTCGAACTTGCTGCGCTCGGCAGGCGTCAACTTGTCGAGAGTAACTTCTCCTCCGCGACTGGCCGCCAGAACCTCGAAATCGGCCTCGCGCCGCTCTTCGACCAAGAACACGCCCGCCTCCTTGGTTTCGACCGCAAACGAAACCCAGCCGTCTGGTCGAACCCTTGACTCGATCTCCTGGACCCTGTTCTCGACGAGACCTGGCCCCCCGCCCTTGCCTTGATCCTCTGCGGCGGCAGCAGCGGCAGCGGCAGCGTCGGTATGCGGGCCCTCGCTCAACGGGGGAACGGCACCTGGGGGGCCGACTCCGGGTGGGGCCTCTATCCTCGCACGCTTGGCCTCGCCCGTCTCGGGTGGACTGCTTGCCGCCCGGGTCTCGGCCTGGCGCTGGCGAGTGCGCGCGGGCATGTCGCTGGGCTGGGACAGCCTGGGTCGGCCCGGCCTGCTGACCCCGGCAGAGGCGGCCTCAGCGACCGCGGGAATGGGCGCAGGGGCAGAGGAGAGGGGAGGAGGACCTGGATCAGGAAAATCAGAGGGCAGAGGAAGAGAGGAAGAGAGAGGGGGGGCAGGTTCGACCGTGTCCTCGTCATCTGGACTGTCCTGCCTCGTGGGTGCCTCGCCTCCTCCCTGGCCATCTCCCTTGGAGATGGAAAGGAGTCGGGTTCGTTCCGATCCAGCTCGGGCCACCACGGAGCCTCCGGCCGATGACGGTCGGGATCCGGGCCCTCTCGGAGGCCTGGGCCTGATCGGATCGAAACCCCGGTGAACCAGAAGAGGTCCAGTGGGCCTCGCGCTCGGAGCTTCTCGAGGCATATCCGGCCGTGACTCTGGCTCGGGCCCCGGTGGCACCTGAGGCGCCGAATCCACCTCCGGCGACAGCGGCTGGCCCCAGGCCTCATCCGGAGGCGGGCCTTCTCGTTGAACATCCACTGCTGTCGCTCTCCCGGCCTGGGCCTGGGAGAGGAGCTCTGACCACCGGGGATCCTGGGCGACCTGGATACCGCGCTCTTCTTCAGCACTGGCCAGGCGGACCTGTTCAGGAGAGCATGTCCAGAGGCGCGCCCGCACCGCGACCCACGCGGTACGACGCTCGCACAGGACCACGATCCCGGGGCCCGTCCACGCGCCCCGCCTGCGACCTGAGGCGTCAGCTCTCGGACCCGCCTTAGTCATGCGTCGCCAGACAAAAACCCACCGGCCCGGTTGAAACGCCACCTGGTCCTGGCCGGGTCCTCTCGCCTTGGTAGCCTTAGCCACCTTGTCCCGAGCGGTGGCTTCAAGGGACGGGCGACGCACCAACTCTCTAACGCGCTGCGACCTGGCGAGCTCCGCACCTGCAGAGTCGAGCTCCGAGGCCGGCCGTATAGAGTCCTGCCACCCAGGAAGGCCCATATGATCACCCGACAGTATATCGCGCGGCATTCGGGGGTTCTCGCCAAACAAAAGCTGACCTTGGGAAAACCCGCCCCGGTGCCAGAACCGATTCTTATGAGCACACAACTCGTAGACGAGCTCTTCGAGCTCCTCTAAGTCCCCGGGAATAGCCGAACCGGCTTCCACCTCGCCGTTGATCCTGTCTTTGATCCGCTCTCCGTGTCGCTCGACACGTCCGTTCTGCCACGGAGAGTTCGCATCGCAAACATGGCCGAGAACACCCTACTCCTCGAGCCCCCGAGCGAACCGACCTTCAAAATCCGGGCCCCCGTCCGACGGCGCAAAATGAGGCGCGCCAAAATGGCGGACCCACGCCTTCACGAAAGCCCCAAACCTGCGCCGCTGTGGGCTCCCCCACTCGAATGCAGACCTGCAGATTGGACCCGCGGTCTACAACGCCCAGAAACGCGAGGGCCCTTTCCCTGTAAGGGGACATAAAAAAAGGTCGACGTCCACTATGTGATTGAACGTGAACGTTCTAGGGGGGGCCACTCTGCGGTGGCTACTGGTGCGAGCCCGCCCGGCGCACTCCCAGCACTTGAACGCGCCCCTAATCCATCGAAGCAGGTGTATCTTCACGCCTCCGGCCCTGAGGACTCGCACAAACTTCCTGTTGCATGGGTGGCCCGTGTTCACATGCAAACGAAACGGCAAACGCTTTTCTTCTTCTGTTGGTTCCGGAGGGGGTTGCTTCGGCCTGGGGGCCCCGGGACTCCGCGTCTCGGGTTCGTCCGCTTCGCCTCCGCTGGCTTCCTCGGGGCCTTCTAGATCTTCGATGAGGGGAGTCCTCGTCCTCGGGAAAACGGCTCTCGCCAAGCTCGGCCCACGTGGGGGCCCGTGACCCACTGGCCCTGCCCCGCTGTTCCGTCGCAGGACGAGTCACGGCCTCGGCGAAGGCTGGCGGATACTCCTGGGCCCGGGAGGTCTTGCCCCGCCCCTCCAGAAGCACGCGCTTGTGATCCCCAGAGCACAACCCACCGTCCATAACTTCTGAGAGCCTCGGGTGGTTGGTGGGCAGTCCGGCGGGCTTCTTGTTGAGGCCATCCTCAGCGACTCGGAGCCCGAACATATACATATCGATCCGAACGCGGCGAACGCCTCGAAGCTGGGCGACCAGCTGGACTACCTTAGTCGCCCAAGAACTCGCAAAAAGGTGGTGCTCGAAAGCAAAGTGCCGCCCCCGCTCTGACTGATACAAGGCAATGCGCATGCATAGAATCAAATCATTGACCCCGTCGGTCATACCCTGCTTCCACTTCGCAAGATTCTGGGCGGCCCTGCTGATTCGACTGATCGCCGAGAAGACCCGACATAACGGACACAGCCAAATCATGTCCGGCCTAGAGCTCTCGCTGGTCCAGAGCTCTCGCTGGTCGTCAGCCCTACGAGAACCCCACCCAGCTTTCAGATTCCAACTGGGCCTGACCCCTAGAGCACCCCCTCGGCGCTGCACGCGAGGCGAGATCCTGGGAGGAGAAAACACTTTTCCATGAAACTGACCCCCTTATCCTCTGAGACAAACAGCTCAGTCGCTTGATATTAAATTTCTGGGATCCGCCCGGCCCGGCTCTGAGCTCGAGGGCCGTGCGGGCCTGCCTGGGCAGAGCGACCTCATGGTCGTCGTTAGAAAAGTCCCCGTCCTGCCACTCGGTTCCCTCGAAATCGCCCTTCGAGCTGCGCCCCTCCGCCGGCGACTGAGACCCCGGAGCCGAGGCAAACGCGGGAAACATCGAAAACGAGTGTATATCTCTAGCTTGAATAGTGTCTGAGAACGAGGATGATGCCTTTTCAGCTGCGCAACTACAGCCGACAGAAGCTGCTCGGCCACACTGAGTGATGGCAGTCCGATCCATGTAGGAGCCCGCTGAACCACGGGCCCTGGATCGTTCCCAAGCACCTCCCACGAGTCGAGGCTCGTCCCTTGAATGGTCGGCATCGGTGGGTGCATCGTGGTCGTGGGCGTCGCGCTCGGCATGGCCGGTGTCGTAGCGGCCCTCGTCCCGTACGGATCGGTAACCGTCCTGGGGCCCCCGCCCGATGCAGTTTCCTGGTCGTCGATCGGTGGCGGATAGGATGGCGGCGGAGGACTGGCCGCCCCGGACGAGGATGCCGCCGCCGAGCCCATCGATCCGATAGCTGCTGTCGGTGCCTGAGGTATAGGGGCGGCTGCCACTGCCGCGGCTGCTTGCTAGGGAACGTGCCACTGGCCCTCGATATGCTGGCCTCCGTTGGCCACGTGTGCTATGACAGCCACTGCTGTGCCCACGTTCACGAGCATGAACCCGATCTGGCCGATCGCCGTCTCCATCCCGGAGAGGATACCGGCGATGGCGTTGACTGACTCCTGGAGCGTGTCGATAGCTATCGCGAAGTCCGCCATCCCAGCGAGCTGCGTCTTGATGGCAGTTATGCCTTGGAAGATCTGCTGGGGCCCCTCTTCCATCCGCATGGGGAACTGCTGCGTCTGCGTCGCGACCTGGATCATCTGGTCCACCACCGACTGTACCTGGCACAGCGCTCGCACTCCTTCTGGAATCGCATGTAGCTGCCACTGGAGGCCCTGTAGCGAGCCGTACAACTGGTTCACCGTCGTCAGCGCAGCTCCACCTGCCTTGAACTGTGGGTCGCTGGTCAGAAGGCCCACCACCCTCTGAGCCGACGACGCCGCCGCCCGAGCGGCCTCGGCCGCCGCAAGTACTGCAGGAGCGCCCCCTTGGCCGGCACGGCCTCCGGGATCCATGCGATGCGCGCTCCGCAGAGAATGCGCCTCGACCCCAATCCGTGCTGATTCCCGTAGTACTTTATCGCTGAGGCCGGTTGGCTGCAGTGAGGCGGGGCCTTGGGAAGTGGTCCCCCTGCGGCCGGCCCGCACAACGCCCCCGGCGTCGGTGCTGCTGCCCCGCCTCCGACTGCTGTCGCCGCCGCGGCCCCGGCTGCCGCTGCTGCCGCGGCCTCGAGGGGAGGTCCCGGCGGGAGAGGCGGCTGGTTGGCCCCCTCGATTGGTGGAGCTGGTGGCCGCTGAGACGCCTCTGCCGCGACTCCCCACAGTGCTGGTTGTGGCAGCGGTACTGGCCAGTGCTGTTGAGGAGGTGGGAGAGGCGCCATTGCTGCTGCATGACTCGCTGTAGCCTGCGTCGGTCCGAGACTCATCGGGCTCGGCAGTCTGCGCATCGCCTCGAGCGCCTGACGCTGCTGGTTGTCCGAGCTGCTGCTGGCGCCGTGCTTCCCAGGCCGATCTGCAGGAAGGGCGTCGGGCGGCTGCTGAGGCATGGGCACGTCGCTGCCTGCCACCGCCTTCGCATCGCCGGGTGTCAGCGAGCCTGCCGCTCTGGCCGAGGGCTCGAACACCTCTGATGAAACCTCGGAGTCCCCCCCGCGCTCGGCGCGGCGCTGCGCCAACAACTCCTCGGTGAGCTGCTCGGCCGCGGGCCCCTTCTCCTTGCCCCCGACAACCGGGCGCGCCCCGAGGGCCAGCGCCAACGCCGCACGAAACATGAACATGGGCGAAATCGCCTAAAATGTGACTCCGAAAGCGGGCGAGGTTGATAGCTCGGAATTGCCGAAACGAGCTCGGGCCCTAACTTGCCACGGAAACCACTCGGACAACCTGGGCCAGCGTGGCTATCACCGAGAGACCGAGAGCTCCGAGGTCGTAGAGGGCTCTGCCCATTGAGCTGAGGCCGAGGGCCCTGGTCGTCTCGCTGGCCTGACTCTGGTCGCACTTATCATCCTTAGCTTCTCCGCGGGGTCCCGAGGCCCGGACCGCTGCTAGGGCGCTCCACTGAGCTCGTGGCTGGTCCTGGCCGCTAAGCTCGAGCTCGATCGATAATTGTCGCCCCCGGGCCCGACCCCGAGGCACTGCGCGGCGTTCGATCCGATCGAGACCAAAGGGGGAGAGGTAGGCAACAACGCTGTAAGCGCTCATCTCCCCGCTGGCACTCATCGCGGGCGGCAACGGCCAGAGCAAAGGAAGACGCAGTCAGAAAAATGATACTTCCGAAGCGCACTGTCTGTCGAACACATCTACAACTACGCGCAGCGGAACTGCACCTTGTTGCGGGGGCCAGGGGTGGCAATCATAATTCGATTTGGCGTGTCGGTCGGTCTGGGGGTGCGGACACCGCCTCGCGACCTACCATGGAAGGCGATGGTCGCGCCGACGACGTTGCGTGCCAAGCGTGGAAGCGATCGCCGCGTTTCACGGCGAGGCTCGGCGGCGGCCGCAAGAGAAAGCATAGCGCGAAACAGCGCTCACCCTCGGGCGGGGAATCCGGCGCGAAGAAGAATTTGAAAGCGCGGGGGATCGGATCACAAATTTGCTGCTGGGGCACAGGCGGGGGAGGGGGGCGGGCTGCGCGAGGTCGAGGCCCCCGGGCATGCGGCTGGCTTCGCTTAGCCAGGGGATGTGGGATGTCAGCGGGGGGCGGCCCAGGGGGCGGGGCCTCGGCGATGGGCAGCGCGGGCAGCCGACGCTTCGCGAATAAGGGACACGTACAGAACGGCACTTAGCGGCCGGGGCGCGGTACACGCTGGGGGCGCGAGTGGCGGCGCCCGACATGCACCCCGCCCCGCTGGCTAGGTTAGTTATATAAAAGCTCCGTTTTGTGGGGATGTCTCCGGCCAAACCAGCGCGCGCAGAACTGAGTGTAGTTCTGAACGCGCTGGATGTCTCGCGCGGGGCGAGCGCGCGCAGACCGGCACCCTGCGAAAGGGGCGGGGCACGCGCCGGGTACGTCGTCGCGCCCCGCCCGCAGAGTCAGGAAGGCAAGGGCCGCTGACGCCCCTGCCGGCCTACGGGCGGAGGTGTCTGGACGTCCCGGGGCTATCAGAAGGAATTCCAACTGCGGCCTCCGCCCGCGTCGCTCCCCTATATCAGAATATCTCGCCCGGTCGCCATGTTCCCCATTCCCGCCCGCTGCTTTGCCCCCCCCCTCCCCCGTTCTTCCTTTACCTGCCGCTCTCAATTTCCCCGAGCGTTTCCCAGTTGCCCCTGGCCCCTGCGCGGCGGCAAACGCCCGCGCCCCCCCGCGGCTGAAAGACTCGCCTTGCGCTCATCCTCCAATCCACTCGCGAGGCGCAAGCCTTGATTCCAGACTGACACTGCCAAGAGACGCCGAGGCCCCGGAAAATCCAACAGGCGCGATCGGCCCCTCGAATGGCGGGCGAACCAATGCGCAGGACGATGTCGCAAAAGCAAGTTTGGAATTTCGGGGCCCGCGCAAGGAGCTAATATACTCGCCCAGAGTGTAGTTTTATGCCTGTCCGATGTCTGGGGTAGCGCGCCCCCCCCCTCGCCCCCCGCGCGATATCGGCCACGCGGCGGCCGGATCCCAGCTCGGCGACAGGAATGCCCCGAGCTTGAAGCTGCGAGCTCCGAACGTTGCGAGGGGGATCGAGCACGCGGCCTAGAAAATCCAGCCAATTGACGCCAAGTGCGTGCGAAACGTCTTCGCTCAGCACTGCGGTCTCCGCGACCCACATCACTCCGCCGAGGCGCATCGGATGCAGGATGGCGCAGATCACCTTCGCCTCGCCTCCGACGCCGCGCGCCTTCTCGGGCGCCTTGAACTCCCCTTTCGCCACTGCGCACCGAAGGCCGTGACGACCCAGAGCCTCAGACTCCCGGTTCAGGGGTGGCAGCCCCGCGATGTCGCTGCCGGCCCCAAGGTCCACGAGGCCCTGCGTCGCGGAGGCATTGGGGTAGATCTCGATGGCATGAGCTCCCTTCTGGATGCCCTTCAGCTTCTCGAGCCCGTCGCGACCCATGATCGGGTAGCTGCAGCCGTCGAGCGCGTGCCCGGCCAAGCCTCGCTCTGACCGATCGGGCCCCTTGCTGATGTCCTCTTTCCGCGGCTGGGGGCACTCTCGTGACCGGTGACCCTTCTCGATCGTTGCAGTTCTTGCAGCGGGTGACCTTCTTGGGCCTGCGGATCCTCTGATTGGTGGTGCCGGCGCCCCTCTGCCTATCTCCTCGGCCTCGGCCGCGCCCGCGGCCTTGGCCGCCCGCTCCGCCCCGGCTGCCGCTGCGGCGCCCGTCGTCGTCGCTCGGGCGAGGTCGTGCCCCGCGGAACTCGCGGTCCTGCTTCGCCGCGCGCTTCAGATCCTTGCTCTGCTTCCAGGACCGGCGCTGCGCCTTGCCTGTCATCTGCGCCAAGGCCTCCGTAGCATCGTCTTCGTCGAGATCCAGATCCTCGGTCTCCGCCAAAATGGCCATGAGGTCCGTCTCTGACATCTCTTCGTCTTCGTCTGGATCCTCCCCCGACTCGTCGCATCACGACTCCTCGCCCTGCCGAGCGGCCCCGGAGCCTGAGACCTGGAAAGCCTGGGAGGAAGGAGGAGGAGGGGGAAAAGAGCTGGAGCCCCGCCCGCCCTCGCCGTCTTCTGCGGCCAGGGCCGGGTGCGAGGCGCTGCTGCCGGGCAGTAGCTTCTCACCGCTACCGTAGTCGAGCTGCCCGAGGGCCCAGGCCACATCCCTGCAGTCCAGGATGCCCTCGGTGGGGGCGCGCAGGCTTTGTTGACCCTGCGCGCCCAGTCCGGCTTCTTCCTCGAGCATGGGCCCTTCATCTTGTCCGACATCCAGATGTCGCGGCTCTCTGCCTCTGTCATCTGCTGGTCGCGCCTCGCCGCGAACTGGGTGAGGCTCTCCTTCGAGCTCCTCGTGCATTCGAACAGCGCCCGGCGGCCTGCCCTGCGCGCGTCGTCGGCCTCGCGCTGACCACTCACGAGGCCCATCCTCTCGAGGGGGGTGTCCAGCCAGCGGGGTCCGCACAGCACGCTCTCGCTGATGTCCTCGAACTTCGCCTGCTTTGCCCAGTCGAACAGCTTCAGGAAACGCTCCGACCGTCTCCACAACTGCACGTCGGCATTGCGATTCCACCGTTGAATCGTTTTCTTCCACGCTCGGTAGTGGCCCCAGCCAGGCCACGCGGGCGGGTCTGAGTAGTCACCTTCCGACCGGCCGCCCTCGTTCCAGTTGTGACTCCTCCAGCCGCCGTTGTTGTCGCCCTTCCAGTCGGAGCCCCTGACGTCGCCCCGCTTGGCGCCCTGCTGCCGTCGGCCTCCTGGGCACCACTTGTTCTCGTCAGGCTCCGGCTGCGCACTCCTCCAGGGATCGCGGCCGTCGCTCCAGGGGCCCTGACCTCTCGAGCCCTCTTGCCGGCCGCTCCTGGTGCCGCCGCCGCCCTGGCCGTTCGGACCAACCGCGTTGCCGCCGGGCCTGGGGCCGAGGTTCTGCACGGCGCCCTTCGCCGCCTGCTGGATCAGCTGCCTCAGCTGCTCCGTGACCTGCGAGCCCGAGCTCGACGCGCCTCCGGCTGGTGGCGCAGGCGCTTCCCCCTCCCCAGTCTTTTCTGACTGGGCTACGCGCCCTTCGCCAATGACGGCGTGCGTCTCGTTCTCGTCGCCTCCTGGGCCGGAGTCGTCCGGCCCTGGCATCAACGCCTGCCGTGGATCCGCGCTCTGTCCAATCCAGCGAGAGCAACGCCCGCGCAGCCACCCGAGCTGCCCCCGGCACCGCCGCTGCCTAGCGGCACCTGGGGCCGCCCATGCTGGCCGCGCCGAACACTGCTCCGCTACCAACTGCGGCAGCAGCAGGATGAACGGATGCATTTTGGCCTTGAGCCAAAAGCGGCAAATGCAGCACATATTCCCCTGAAACGCACACGGACAATCCCTGCCGCCCCGTGAGCTGGAATGTTGGGCTCCACGGGAAATAGCATTATGCTAAACCTATATCGATAAAGCAATAGAGTCATCAAAGGAGGAGGAGGAGGGGGGGGGAGGGGAGGAGGAGGAGGAGAAAAAGAAGAAAGAGGGAGAGGGGGAAGAGGAGGAGCAGGAGGAGGGGCGAATTGTGCCCCGCCCCAAAAAACAAGGGGGGACCTCAAAGGAAAAATCCTAAACTTTCTTCGAGCCATCTCATCCCCCAGCGCCATGTCTGAGTGTGGAATATCGGGCCCCTGCCGGCGATGATAGAACGATTGGGTGTCGATGCCCCCCCCCCTGAGCCTACCCCTCCCCCCAACGTTGTCCCTGACTACGGTGCGAATAAATAATAAATGGGCACCACCCTTCCCTCGAAAGTCAAAGTTGACACGCTCGGGGACAACGGCGGTCGAAGCGCAACTCATCACAACCGCCCCCAACTTTGACACTTCGGGGGGGGGGGGGGGCATTGACAGCTGAATCTGGAACAAGTGCTCGCTAATTTTTCACAGGTCTGCCCCCCCAGTGCCGCGCTGACCCGAACCAATGCAAACCCGAATTAGTCAGGCCTTGCATGTGCCTGCAGGATCCTGCAGGGTGCTGCGCGCTGGCCCGGGGTCAGTGCATCCGTAGCTCTGCGGGGCCCTGCAAGGTCCGGCGCTCTGGCTGACCCACGCCCCCCCGTCTCAATTGGACGGTGAAACTGGGGGTCGGGCGCAGGGCCCCGGCAATGGTGTCTTTATGGGCCACGCGTGGGCGATGCATCCTCGATTGCTGCGCTCGGCAGGGGGAACCAATTCAACAGTCCCCGCTTGCGCCCATGCGCGATACTTGAGGTAAGCGAAGCAGGGGGCGGGGAGATCGGGAAAGGCGACGATGGCAACGTGCGCTGGGGAGGAGAGTGCCGAAATCTTCTCAGCCAGTTTGACGCGCGGAAAACTGCGCCCCAGTTTGGGGGGTCTCGACGGCCAAGACAAAATGTGCATTCACATTGTGGGGAGAAGCAGAATATGAGTTCACATTTTGGGATGAAAGAAAAATGCGAAGTCACATGTTGGGTAAAAGGAAACTGCGAATGCACATTTTGGAATTGTGTGTGACTATTCATGCAGGGGCCAGAATGTGGATTCACACTTTGGTCGGAGGTCGGGGGGTGAGATCGAAGTGGAACGGAGAGCCCCACCGGGAAATCGGCTTCGGTTTCGCGTTCGCGTCGTTCGCGCGGGCGAGGCGAAGCTGCGCGCGCGGGCGAGAGGAGTTCATTCTGCTGTCGCTAGTGGTTCGCCAACATAAATGTGCCCCCCGCCGGCGCGTGTCAAGCGGTGGCCCGCATTGTCCCGTCGGTTTCCCGCCGTTGTCCTGTCTGTCGCTAGTGGTTCGCCAACATAAATGTGTCCCCCGCCGGCGCGCGCCAAGCGGTGGCCCGCATTGCCCCGTCGGTTGCCCGCCGCTGCCCCGTCTGTCGCCAGTGGTTCGCCAACATAAATGCTTCCCCCGCCGGCGCGTGTTAAGCGGTGGCGCTTGGTCTCGTTGGTTGCCCGCCGTTGTCCTGTCTGTCGCCAGCGGTTCGCCAACATAAATGTTCCCCCCGCCGGCGCGTGTTAAGCGGTGGCGCTTGGTCTCGTTGGTTGCCCGCCGTTGTCCTGTCTGTCGCCAGCGGTTCGCCAACATAAATGTTCCCCCCGCCGGCGCGTGTCAAGCGGTGGCCCGCATTGACCCGTTGGTTGCCCGCCGTTGTCCTGTCTGTCGCTAGTGGTTGGCCAACATAAATGTTCCCCCCGCCAGCGCGTGTCAAGCGGTGGCCCGCGTTGCCCCGTCGGTTGCCCGCCGTCGCCCTGTCTGTCGCCAGTGGTTCGCCAGCGTAAATGCCCCCCCCGCCGGCGCGTGCCAAGTGGCATCCCGCGTTGCCCCGTCGGTCGCCCGCCCGCTGTACCCAGGCAGTAACGATGTTCCTCATGTGTACGTAATTCCCCCAGGCCTCTTGGCTGAAGAAAAAATACACGCGTTGGCACCAGGCTCTGCCAGCGCAGTTCTGGGTCGCAGGTTTCTGACCGCTTTTCTTCTGGGTGGCCACGTTGCCGAGCGATGGTAGCTCACTCGGTAGTGGCCTCCGCCCTCAGACTCGGCTGTGGCAAGGTCGCCCCGCGAGTAAAAAGAAACGCGCCCGAGTCCAACTCTATCCTGTTTCTTTTCCGAGGCTCCACTCATCCCCGAACCCCATCTGCATAGGGCAGGCGGCATTTCATCAACGCCGTCGTCGTCGCCATCTCGCCATGATCACCGTCGCGCGCATCGTCGCCATCATCATCAGCATCGCGTTTGCCGCCGCCACGTAGTCATCACCGCCATCTGTCCCAACTGCCATCGCGTGCTCAAGGAGGTCGCCGTCTTTTCCCAGCCACCCCCGCCAGCACCGCCCCGGCCACCCGTGGCCGCCGCCGCGGCTGCGCCAGTCGGCGTGCACCTGCTGGAGCACAAAGTCAAGCACAAAGTGCAAAATCCATCGGAGTTCGTTCTCCGCCCGAAGCATTGGACTGTCAATCCATCGGAACTCTTGGAGGGGTTGCCCGGCGCTGACGCCGGGCACCAGGCTCTGCCAGTGCATGTGCCGGCGCGGCTGCGGGGTGCCGGCGCGGAAGCTGGTGCACCAGAGGCGGACGCGCGCCTGGTTGAGCCGGTCAACCGGTGTTTCTGGACGCACTACGGTGTGCTCGACCCGTCTTGGATTTCGCGTAAGTGGACGGGCCGAGAGCCGCACGACGAGCGTGTGCACGCCGAGTTCAACAAGCTCCTGCCACCCGGTGGCTTGAAGGCGTTCGTTCAGAGCCACCCGGAATTCGCATGGCGCCCCCAGGGACCCGCGCCAGCCTGACAAAGGCATGGTCATCACGTGGGCGCTGCCAGTGCAGGCCAACACGGCACCAGGCGCCGCCAGTGCATCTGGCAGCAGTGTCCCTGCTGAGCAAGTGGCACTGCCCGCCACAAACAGCCAGTCGTTTCCACCGACGCTGGGCGGAGGGCGCTCGTCAACGCCAGGCACTGCCAGCGCGACTCCCAAGGCAGGATAGGAGAGGTCCGGACACCAGGCCCTGCCATTGCACGCATCGTCGACTGGACCGTCGTGGGGTGAGTGCCGCGTTGCGCAGCGGCAAACCGAATGACACAAAACACCCAAGCGAAAAAACAAACAAAAACCCGCTACGTCATCCACACCATCATCGGCCATCAGCACCACATTCACCACAGTTGTCGTCATGAGCCCCCCCCATCCCGCCCCCTCCCCCACAACCTCCTTATCACCCGCAGGGTGGTCGTATAGGTAAAAACGGAATATGTGAATTCACACTTTCGAAAAAAAAGGAGAATATGAATTCACATTTTGGGAGAATCGCGGGGCCCATTCCAAATCTGTCTTGGGTGTCGAGAAATCATCGTTTGGGAACATACGCGATCAGCAATCGCACAATCAAGACACACTTGCACTCCACTTCGCCGCCCCACGCGCAATATGCAAGAACGCCCGCACGCATGAAAGATAATGGATGAATGGGGCGTTTGCCCGCGCGGGCAACGTGCGGGCACGAACGACTGGCCTTCCATGACCGCCAACATTGGATGCCAATCATACCCGGTCACGTACATGAGCGATACGTTGAGCATACATGGGCCACTCAGCCCCCATTGAAGACCCCTTGTTGCAGACCCCCTCTTTCGCCCTCCAACTCAATGTTCCCGCCCCCCACTCCGACGACCCCATTCCGGCCGACACGTCTCCGGGGGGACGGCAGCGAGGGCGGGCGCGCCGAGAGGGCCCGCGGCGCCGCGGGTCTCGGGGAGCCGCGGGCGGCCACGCTGGCGCCGGCCCCACTGTACCTGAGCTCGGCCTGGCACGCGGTGGGCACAATGCGTGGAAATACGTAGCAGGGAACAGCTATGGCAGAGCGCGCGCCAGGCTTTGGAGAGGGGGGGCCTGCGCTGGATAGCTAGGGAAAGCCTAGCGCGGCGCGCGAAAATGCTGATAATAAAAAAATGGATGTGTTCCACGCTCTCCCTTCCGCACTCCGTTTCCTCCTCCTCCTCCTCTCCCTCCTGTTCCTCTCGTCCTCGTCGTCGTCGTCGTCCTCCTCCTCCTCCCTCTCCCTCTCCCCTTCCTCCCCCTCCCCCTCCTCCTCCTCCTCCTCCTCTTCTTCCTCCTCCTCCTCCCCTCCTCCTCCTCCTCCTCCTCCTCCTCCTCCTGCTCCTCCTGCTCCTCCTGCTCCTGCTCCTCCTCCTCTTCCTCCTCCTCCTCCTCCTCCTCCTCCTCCTCCTCCTCCTCCTCTTCCCCCGCAATGCATTGCAAATTGCTTCACTCAAGGACAGAAGAGCGAAGGAGGGAAAACGGAGGGAGGAGAAGAGGCAGGTGGGGCCAGTCCGAAACGACCTGTTTGATTCCACTCTTGTTGTCGATTCGTGTTCTGGGACGGTCAGAGGGGGCTTAGTGGCCTCGTCGACGTCGTCTTCCCTTCATCTTCCTCTTGTTCGTCCTCTTGTCGCCCTATTTCTCCCTATTGCGTGGCGAGATGCTCCACTTCACAATTACAGCAACAACAACGACGACAACAACACTACCAACAACACCAACAACACCAACAACGACGTGATCGCCACATCGCTGAAGCGCAATGGGGGCGTGTGGAGTGGCACAAACCCAAGAGATACACGTAGACCATTTCCAACTCAACATTGATAACAATGCACGGCGTTCTTTCTTGTGAATGGTCGGACCAAGGCCAAGAATATCAAACAGAGTGCCTTGAGCAATCCAGGAAGCTGGAAACTCACGCGGGTGGAAAACATGTTGTGTTTTTCTCGTCGGCGGCGAAGCAGAGGTGTTCAGCACCACTGAAAAGCGATTCGGGGCAACCCAAAGGCGAATTGGCCAGCATGCAGGAAGGTGGAGCAAGACAGACGAGGCGGCCGCAGAGGGGGGCGGGGCGGAGGGCACTCAGATGTGGAAGCGTTCCGACAGCGGAATCGCCCCTGGTGATCTGGCCCTACACTGCGCGCTGGACTTCGCGCCGCCATTTGCTGGGTGCGAAGACCTTAGCAATGTGCATCATCGTGGCGCTCTGTGGTTCGATGTCCGTGACGCGATACTTTGCGATAGTCAGTGCAACGTCGGATCCTCGGAGCTCGAGGGCGACTTGTTTGGATTCGTTCGTGTCAAATTTGACGCGGATGCCCCTCGGTCGGCGCGGGCGGTTCCGCAGGCGTTGAACCTGCGTGGGGCATTGAGTGCCTCCTGGAGTTAAGTCAAATTGCCGTCATGGTGTCGCGCCGTGATGTACTCGCTGGGCGCTGGCCCATGGTGCCGCGGCAACTGATATTGACCTGACTGCCACTTTGGCCAGAGGCGGCGAGGACGATCGGGGCGCCCCGCTGGTTGGGATGCCGAATGTGGCTGCGACCCTGCGTTTACACACGGCCGCGCCGTGCCGACCAAGTAGCTTCATGGTCTCCAGAATTTGCACGGCGCGAATGTAAGAAATGAAGATGGTTGTGAACGCATATGTGACGTCTTCCTCCAGCTGCCGGCGCGCCTCGTCACGCCTGGCAATATCGCGACGCCCCAATGCCTGTGTTGAGCCGTGACTTCTCTGCCCAGTATACGCGTTCCATTGATGGGAGCAGCTTCCATAAACTGTGGGGTAAACAACTCCTGAAGAGCTGAAGTGACTCACGCAGCGTCCGTTTCACATGTGGCTCCGCGGGTCCATATCTCTTTGTCTGATGGGCCGAAAGTGACGCGGACAACGTTTTGCAAATACTTGGCCTTATGTGCGGCCTGGTTTGTCGATGGTTCCCTGTCTGCGTCCTGGCGGGGGCTTGGTAGCCTTGGCCACCCGACGGAGGACAGGGATTGCGAGCTCCTTCCCTGGGTAATCTTTGCTGTTTGATCCCACGACGGCTAGTGCGAGGGGTCTGTCCTGGCGGCCGATTTGCTGCAAGAGCCGGTTGCCCGACTCTTTTCTCCGTGAGCACGAGCCGCAGCTAGGCGGCCGGTCCCCACTGTGCAGTCTGACCCAACTTAGGCTTGCGCCCGCTAGCATCGGCCACGTGGCGGGGACAGCTACGCATCGTGCTCCACAACGGCGGAGCAACAAAAACTCCGGGGACGAGCGGGCAAGACTAGGCCAGGCTGAAGAGAAACGTGGAGAGCTCAGGCTAGAAATAATGCCTCGATCGTTCCACGAGCTCACGCCCTGACACGTGCATCGACCTCGTTGTGCAGAGCCCCCCGTGTCAGGCAAAATGCCGTTTGTGGGGACGGGTTGCAACTGGAACAAACATAAACACACAAACTGAGCCGAGCAAGAAAGGCGTGAGAGAGTTGACAAAACGAAGGTATACAGTTCAAGCCTAGAGCCCCATAACGGGTCGTGAACTGCCACGTGCCTACGTGATACGGGGGAGGCATCTTCAATGCACCCAGAGTGCACACTACGGAACAAGACTGGGCAAGACTGAATGGGGAAAAAGAGTGGGCGGCCGCGCCGACAAGGCGCGACCTGCGGGCTACACGCGCGACCCGCGCAGACGGGACGGCGCCAGCGATCTGCCGCGGGAGGCCGCCCACGGAGGCCGAGCGCCTCACCCCGCCACCATGAGGAGGAGAGCAAGGGAGGAGCGGGAGGGAGGAGGACGGAGGGAGGGAGGGGGGGAGGCTGCACGCTCTCGCTGAGCGCTCAGGGCCTCCACAGCCATGGATGAATCTGCCAGCTGCGATCGACAGCTCGGCACTTCGAGTCCGAGGGGAAAGGACGAGGCGGAAGGAGAAAGAGGACTGGGGAGGGAGGGGGGGAGGCCGCACGCTCTTGCCGAGCGCTCAGGGCCTCCACAACCACGGATGAATCTGCCGGCTGCGATCGACAGCTCGGCACTTCGAATCCGAGGGGGGAAGACGAGGCGGAAGGAGGAGGAGGAGGAGGACGGAGGGAGGGAGGGGGGGAGGCAATACGCTCTTGCCGAGCGCTCTGGGCCTCCACAGCCACGGATGAATCTGCCAGCTGCGATGGACAGCTCGGCACTTCGAATCCGAGGGGGGAGGACGAACGGAGGAGGAGGCGAGGGAGAGAGAGAGACTGATACGAAACACCCCAGCAACGTATCATCTAACCCCGCGCGCTGAGCGACGGAGAAAGTAAATCGCGCCCCAGGCCGGGGAACGCAACACACTGGCCAAACTACATAGCTGTAACAACTATGAGAGCACAAGCCCCACACCCGAACAGGCGATACGTCGCATAGCGAGGCGGGCACGACGTCGAACCCCCGAGGCGCGAGAGCGGGTCCAGCAGCAAGAAGCAACGACGGGGGAGACACAAGGGGGAGCGGGCGCCGTCCCGAGCCGAGCCGATTGCCCGTCTCTACCGCGTGAAGGCACATACTGTTGGCGTACGATGTGCCGTCCTCCAGGCTGATGAATGGGGCGGTGCCGTTACCCTGGCGGGCGTCGGCTGCGGCAGTGGACCCTGGTGGGTCACAGCTGAAAGCCTTTTGGTGCGTCAGGAACTACTGTGGCGTAGTAGAGCTGATCGCGTTGTCCCGCGCAGTTTCATCAGTTCGCCCCTGAATCGATGCTGTTCTGAACGATGTTGTTGGTAAGTGGTGTCAAGTTCGGTCTGATGCGTGCGAGCGGACACGTTGTACGCAGCAATTACGTTATCGACGCCACCATTGCTCTGGAGTGCGGCGACGCAGGCTTCCTTTTGACTCGGGTTGTTGTCCTGGCGATCATGTAAGGTTGCCTTTGGGCGGCCCTTGCCTGGTGGTTTGGTTTGCGGTAGTGCAGAGGCGCACGGCGTGGTTTTTTGGGATCCATGGCGCGCGCGCGGACTTGAAAGGAGGCGACTCGAATCAGCGCTCAAGTGGAGTGTTTCCAGTTTCGCGATGCGTTCAACGGAAGCGCTGGGCGCTTCGAGTCTGTGGCAACGCCTGCACCCGAGGGTCGTCGAGACGAGACTAGAAAAGGGGAGAGAGTGAGAAAGGGAAAGAGAGATGTGCACGTACACACATATACATGGACACTCTCTCTCTCTCTATATATATAGACACTTATATCAAAACATACAGAGAGAGAGAGAGAGGAAACAGACAAGACAAAACGAAAGAGGAACAGAGAAAGGACGAGAGAGAGGGAGGGAGAGAGCGAGTGAGAGAGAGAGAAAGAAAGAGAGATAGAGAGAGAGGGAACAAAAACATTACAACAGACACAGCTTAACTAGAGGGAACGATGAGAGATAACGAAAACCCCGAAGCGCCTTCGCGGCGTCCAGGCCGCTCCGCAGTTCTTCGTGCAACTGACGTGCGCGGGGCGGGGCAGGGCGCAGCGCAGGCCCAAACCATGTTTCCCCCATCCCCCTCCCCAAATATCCTCCTTTCATTTGACCCTCCCCCCCACCACTTTATCCCGGTCCGCCGCCACTCGCCCCTTTCCCCCCCCGCGGGCAACACATCCTGACCATTGGCTGGGGGGAAAGCCAAAAACATGGACAACGAGGATGATGAGGTCGAGAACCGCAAGGCCCCAACCACTACCCCGCCCCTGTTTTGTGGCATGCAGGGAGCGCGTGCCGGTGCAAGTAATGGCACCTGGACCCTCGGCTCTTCCCTCGGGACTGTCATTTTCATATCCCGGATCGTGTTTCCAGGTCCCGGGGCACGGGCCGACAAAAACAACGAGAAACCTCAAAGAGAGCCCCTTCCTCGAGAACCGCTCCCTTGCGTTGTGATCCTTCTGGCTTGCCCACGAAACGGATAGAGCGGGAGACGCGGACGCGCGATTCGCTGCCCGTGTGCCATGGCCCCCCCTCCAATGCCAACTGTCCGAAGAGCCTCCTTGTACGCGACGTGGGGCTGCCGCGTCGGCTCCTCCCCCCCTATCCCACATGGCCCCTCCAAGTTACCCACAAGCCAGCTGTGTTCGAACAGGACAGCCCTCCCTCCTCCCTCCCCCTCCCTCCAACAAGGCGATAACAAAACCATGTTGGAACAAGACCATCCGCCCCGATGAGCTGAGATCGCACCGCGCCGTTTGCCACGCAAGCACTTGATACTTAAAGCGCCTGGCCCAACTGCATACAAAGGATGCGTTGGGTCGCTTCCCCTCCCTCTCCCCTTAGCTAAGATGCCTTCCCTGTACACGCCTAACACGGATACGCAGGCCGTGGAGGATGAAATCCTCGCGCAGGTTGGGCCACATAATGGACCTCACCTCTTCTTTCCCGCATGTTCTCCTTCTGCCCTGCCTCCCCCTCCATGTGGGACCATAACCGCTCCCTCGGTCGTTACCAAGGGCAGCGAGGATCGCGAGGCCCAAATTGTTCCCGTGCACATGTTGCACTCATAAGCTCTACCTTTGAGCCTCGCCTCTTTGCGGGCCCCTAGAGACGCACGGCCGTGCCCGCATCGAATCAACAAAAACTGTCCCCGCCCTCCCTCTCTCCTCCCTCCCTCATTCCTGCCTTTCCTCTCCTCCTCTCCGCTCCCCCCTGAAAGGGTCCAGAGGCACCCGAGTGGGTCCCCACCCCCGCCATTCAGGGGGCGTTTGGGCGGCGGGGTTGCGCTCCTGGGTCCGTCGCCAGCCACCGCTGGGACGCAACCTCTTTGACGGTTGGCCCCGCGGCAATCCTGGCCTGGCTGTGCTTTCGAATAACTAACCAATTCCCGCGCACCCGATGCCATGTTGTAAAGACGTCGCTACATGAATTACACCAGGGCCCCGGTCATCCGGGAGGAGGAGGAGGAGGAGGAGGCGGGGGAGGAGGAAGGGGAGGAGGGGGGGGGGCGGCACGCAAGCAGGGGCGGCCATCAAGGAGGGGGAGGGGGGGGGGGGGGGAGACGGGGGTCGGTGGTCACGTCGTCGGGGGTCATGGCCGTGGTCGTGATCGTCGTGGAGGCGTGTCGCCATGCCGCTGGGGCCGTTCGGCCAATGCGGCCTTGCTCGCCGCTGCTGCCAGGATCATTGCTGTGGTAGTGGCCGTCGTGCTGGATGGTGCCACGGTGGTGGTGGTGGTGGTGGTGGTGGTGGTGGTGGTGGTCGTGGTGGTGGTGGTGGTAGTTTTGGTGGTGTAAGCTGTGGGCCTCACTGGCCTATGGCGCTGAACACCATGTCTACGTTGACGCGTTGGAACTGTCGGGGCAGCTGCCGCTACACCCTGCCAAGCACTTTTCCCCGGGCCAATTTGTGGACGTGGTGCCCATGAGCTCGGATGAACTCTGCGGTTTCGTCGGGCGGGCGGCCCAATATCGCGAAAAAGCAAAAGGCAAAGACCCCCGCTGGTGGTCCGCTTCTCCCGGACTATGGCAGCTGCGGCCACGCCATCATTGTTGAACTCGGCTGGCCGCTTGCCTGCGCGGACTCTGAGCATTCGCAAATGATGATCCGGTCAACATAGACGGGCTGGCCAATAACCCATCCGTGGTTGCGACGTCCAGCTTGGCAGCCTCCAACACGCCCGTGGACCGGTTGACGCGGTCCCACGCTGGGACATGCTGCCCCGTGTCCGCGGCAAAGCCAGTGAGGGTGGCGTGCAGCTGTGCGTGCCAATCCCGCATGCGGTCATGGCGGCCGGGACTGGACTGTTCCCTCCCTCTTTCCCTCCTCCCTCCTTCTATCCTCTCTCCTCCCTTCCTCCCCTCCCTCCCTCCCGCCCATGGGGCACCCGAAAGGGTCCCTACTACCGTCACTGCCTGCCCTTCCTCCCTCCCTCCGTCCCTCCATCCATCCCATCCTTTCTCCCCTCAATCCCCTTTCCCCTCGCTTCTCCATCTTCCCTCCTCCCCCCTCCCATTCCCCCCTCCCGCCCCCCATCTAACCCTGTGCCAGTAATAATCGCACCACGGGGATAATAAAGTTCGGGGTCCTGGGAGGATAATATTTTTGCCGAAGATATCGATGTTCAAATGTGTGGTTAGCAAGTAGTGCTGATGATGATAACAAAGGATAATCATGGTAAGAGGGTTCAGTGTACGATTCGTACTTTCCCAGGTGGAAATAAAATTCGGCCTCGCCGCTCCGCCCGCCTACCAAATATAAGTATCCCACGGATAGTCATGACTCAGGGGTGACGGGGGATACTGTCTTTATCGCGGGGATGCAGCTACTCATCCAGCTCCCACTCACCCCAACTATGCCCCTGCCCCTCCTCTGCGACCCAAGCCCCTCGCTCTCCGTACCATCGTGCTCTTCAAGGAAGGTCGCCGCAGGCTTCTGGCGGCCCCAGGAGGCCTCGCGAGACCAAAACAGAACAACACATGCTGTAAAACCTCCTGCCATACTGCCCCTGGATATCTTCATCCGTTCAAGGGGACCGTCGTTGTCGCCCTGGGTCGATTTGGACGGCCATGCGAGACCCAAAAGGGGAAGACAGCACTCTGGCATTGTCAAGATCATGGCGTCGGAGGTATGGGTCCCTGGAAACCTCCAAATCCTCCGAAGTCCTCCCGAGGTTTCCGGAGGCCTCGGGAGGTCTCTGCGGGCTTTCGAGCGGCCGCAGCAAAAAACCCACACATTCACACATTCACACATTCACACACACACACACCACACACACACACGAGCACGATGTCGGAGGAAGAAAACGAGAGAGGCGCGCGCGCGTCAGCCTGGGGGCCTAAAGAGGCCCCGCTGGAACCTAGCAGCGGAGCGACTAGCGAGAAGGGGCCCACCCTGCTGGTTCGGATAAACAGCACATCGTTGAGCAGTGCTGCAGCCTCCCCTGACCACAAACCCTCCCTAGAGCATCAGCCAGACAAGTCGAGTTTGCACTCTGATGCCTTGCCGTCTCTGTGCGCGTTTCGGTAC